TCCCGAGGCAGGCCCGAAAGGGCCCAGGAAGGGCTCAACGAAGCCCCGAGACTGCCCAACAGGAGCCCATGACAGCCCCCGAGACGGCCCTGACAAGCCCCTATGAGAGCTCCTGAATAAGTGGGCACTATAGGTGTCACACATGACGGCTTTGCGGGCGTTGCTCGAATGGTCGGCAAAGGGAGTACTTCACCGGCACGGTGACGGATTTGCCGCAGGCACCAGGATCCATTTGAGGGTCACGGTCTCATTCGACGCCTCGATTGGCGAATGAAACAAGACTCAGCGCAATGAGATGGGATGGGAGAGAAGATAGTAGGATGTCAGATGTGGCGCGCGAGCGCGCCCATCTTGTCCCTCTCGACCGCCCCCCCCCCGCTTTCTTTTCTCCCCCCCCCCTCCTCCCCATCCCCCGAGACCCCCCAACTCTTCTGCGGCAGCTCTCGAGCCGTCGCGCGAGAGCGCCCGGCTCGAAGATGTTGCCCCGCTCGGATCTCAATAGACGAGGGCGCTCGCTGCTCGCAAAGGAACGACTCACAACTGGCCCGGATGCGCCGCGGGGGATCCACGCTCCCTTCATCACAGCAGGGCGAGCCCGCGCTGTCTGACGTTTGCGAGTAGGCAATCTTCGAGCATTGGAACACTTGAGCAGGGACCGACCGTCCTGCTGTTCCTATAGTCCTACCACGAAATGTTCTTAGAGCCCCCAGATGTTCTGAGAACAAAAACAATGTTCTTGGAACATAAACCCGATGTGATAAAACAAGACAGTCCCAGCGGGAAATGTTCTAAGAACATTCCGTGGAGACCAGCAAATGGTTCTCAGAATATTGTTGACTATAGTCGGGAGCGGCCAAGAGGGGGGTGTCCAAGAGGGAGGGTGCAAGTCATGACTGGCGGCATGTGCGCGGCCCAGCGGGGGGGCCAGGGACGTAATGAAATAAGAAGAGGCGCCATGAGATCTGGGGAGATATCATGGCCCCCGCCATGATCCCCACCCCCCCCTAGTCATCACCCCCCTCTCTTCCGCCCCCGATGTAGGCACGCCAGGACGCTTCGCCACTGCTTGACCACTGCCTGTCACGGCAGCCGCAGACGCAGCTACTGTTAAGTCGGGCCTGTCCCTCTACAACGGGATTTTGGACGAAAAATGAAAAATACCCCAAAAATACTCCAAAGATGCTCAAAAATAGTAAAAAAATAATCCCCTGACGATTTTTTGACTATTTTTGAATATCCCTCCTGTTGAGGGACACGCCCGACTTAAAGCTACTGCCGGCCCCCTGCCCGACCACGGCCCGGCAGCGCAGGGCAGGCGCAGCGGCCGGCGCGGGCCGGCGGGGCGCGCCCCCCCCGCCGGCCAGGAGCCGGTGCAGGTGTGCCACGTCGTCGTGCCCGAGCTCCAGGCCGAAGGCGCGCGTGGCCGCGGCGAGCTCCACGACCTCGTGGGGGGGGGCGATGCCCGCGGGCCCACACGGGGGCCCAATGTCGTCGTCGTCGTCGTCGTCGTCGTCGTCGTCGTCGCCCCCATCCGGTCCCCCCGCTTCCGGCGGGCGCAGAGCAACACATCACCAGGCAGGCGAGCACACACCAATCACGTCCAAGGCTGCGCAGCCCCTGCTCCAAAATTGCAGTTGGGAGGTTCGGGCCGGCGTGCACAAAAGAGCTCGGGACGGTGATTGGCAAAAGCTGGAACACGCAGCGCGACAATGAGCAGAACGGATGTCTACAACATGGGACTCGCAATCAAGACACATCCCCAGTCGGAAGTCTGGTAAATACAATCCACGCTCCCCCCGCCCTCCTCGGGTATGAACTCAAACAGCAGACGGAGTGGACGGAGCCTACATGGAGGCCAAGAATATCAGCTGCTCTTCTCAACTTGTGTGTGATTCCCAGTCCCTCTTGTTGAACCCCTCTGCTGGTTGATCCCCTCGACGCTCGAGGATCGAATCTGAGGGGCGTGCTGGACTCTATTGGGCCTCGAGGGCCCCCTCCCACCCAGCAACAACCGCAATGCGTAATCGTAAGACTGCAGTTGGAGGAAGCGCGCGATCTCGTTCCTCGTCGCTATCCTCACCCACTTCCCCATCCTCGTCTCCGTCGTCGTCATCGTCGTGCCCATCGCCGTCGTCGTCCGCCTCCTCGCCGTCATCCTCCTCTTGGCACACCAAGAGTGGGGACGAAACAGACGGGGGCGATGCCCAGAAGCCAGTGCAAAACCTACAGCGGCTGCTGCTGGGCACGCGAAGTCCGTCCCACACGGACGACGCCCACGGCGGCACCTAAGACGAATCCAACTCAAAATGGGGAGAGCCTGCTGGCGGCCTTCATCCCTGCATACGTCCTCATCTGGCTCGTTCCAAGAACCCTGTGTGCCAGAAGATGCGCATCGCATATTGTACATCTTGGGCGCCCGAGTTATCCGGGGTAACTCGGGTCCGGGGTAACTCGAGTCTGGATTCCCGAAAAACGAACCCGAGTTAGCCCTGACCCGAGTTACCCCCTGATGAATTGGGGCTCTGGGCGCCCGAATTATCCGGGGTAACTCGGGCCCGGGGTAACTCGGGTTCGGAAGCCCGAAAAGCGAACTGGAGTTAGCCCTGACCCGAGTTACCCCTGATCATTCGGGGCTCTGATATTGTACATCCGCCGGCTTCCGCCCGCCTTCCGCTCGCGGGGGCGGCCTCGTTTGGCTGCCGCCGCCTTCCGCGGAGCCTCCGCAGGGGGAGGAGATGTCAACTGATCCGATCCTCGATGGCGAGGCCATGTCTGGAGCGCCACGTTGCGGTCCTCCTCTTCCTCCCCCCCCGTCCTCCTCCTCCTCCTCCTCCTCCTCCTCCTCCTCCTCCTCTTTCTCCTCTCTTTCTCCTCCTCCTCCTCCTTCTCCTCCTCCTCCTCCTCCTCCTCCTCCTCCTCCTCCTCCTCCTCCTCCCCTCCCCTCCTCTCCTCCTCCTCCTCCTCCTCCTCCTCTTCCTCCTCCTCCCACTCCTCCTCCTCTGTTCTCCTCCTCCTCCTCCTCCTCCTCCTCCTCCTCCTCCTCCTCCCCCTTTTCCTCGGTGGGCCCGGCGAGGTCTGCCACTGGCCCCGTGCCGAGCACAGAGCCCGTGAGCGCACACTCACAGGAGGGGCCGACAAATTTCCGCCGAAGCCTCAGGGTACGCTATCTTCAGCGGGACCAGCACGACACCGATACCGCTACTCCCGGGGCCTCTCCAAGGGCGCGCCCTGGCCCAGAACGAAAGAAAGGCGGTGGTATCGGTACGGGTTCCTTGTTCAAGCCTGCGCTCGCTCGTTCTTGAGCAGGGACTGACCGTCCCGGCATTCCTATAGTCCTACCACGAAATGTTCTTACAACCCAAAACATTTCTAAGAACAGAAACGCTGTTCTTAAACCATAAGTCCAATGTGATAAAACAAGATAGACTCTGTCAGGAATGCTCTAAGAACATGTCGTGGAAACCACAAATGGTTGTTAGAACATTGTTTGGTAGGGCTATAAACGAGCCAGGACGTTCCGCCACTGCTTGACGTTCGTTTGTCCGATCCCCCTCCTCGCCCACGCTGGCTTCTGAAACCGCAGATCTACATCGCAAGCACCAAATATCAGCAGCCTCGTGGCCTGCCCGTTCCGACGGCCCGCCGGCCGTCCCCGAGGCGGCTCTAGTCGGCGGTGGAGAAACCTCCCTTTAGTAAACCTCCCTGTAATGAAAACGGCCTGGGACCGAAACCGACGGACCTGGACCTGCAAAATTGAAGCCGCGACTCCCTCTCGCGAACCGAAAACGGTCAATTCGCGAATCGACGAGTCAAGGTAGGAGGTATGTCCACCCCCGATCTACATCAAGAGCGACACTAATGCTGTTGTCTCCGTCCAGGTCGAACTGGTCGAAGGCGTGCTTCAAGACCACCTGCACCGGCAGCCGGCGCAGAGGACCAAACATGAAGGAAATGGTTCCGTAGAGAAAAACGGTCCCAGATGTTCTTCGTCGTCTTCGGGTACCTCTTAAGCCTTCCACAGGGAAACGTCATCAAAAAGAGGACGCATGGTGAACAACTGGTGCCCTTGAGAACCGGCCAGGGTTTAGGGACCTATCTCCTTCAGAACCCGTCGCTCTCGTGGCGACATCTCCTGATCAAGAGCAGAGGGAACAGCGGGAGAAGGACGAAATCCCAAGGATCCGATGTTTTCATGTTTGTAAATGCGGGGCCCGTGCAAATCCTGACCCGTTCTCCGGGACTGGCTGCTCATCCCAGAACCTGGCGGGGGCCCCAGGAGGCCTGAAACTGCAGGCAAACATCCGTTCTGATTTGGGGGGCCCCAGCTCGGTGGAGCCCTTGCCCAGATAGCGCAAGATGGGAAGCGCGGGGGAACGTCAGGGGGAAGGGGGAAAAGGAGGAGGAGGAGGAAGAGGAGGAGGAGTTCGGGCTGGAGGAAGAGAGGATGATGAATGGATGGAGGGATGGAACGCTGGGGGGGGGGGGGGGGGGGGCGATGAGTCTCAGTGCCTTGGCCTGAACGTCTGAAGGGCAATGCTCTGCGTATGTGGAACGCCCTCTGCGTGGCATTCGGAAGCGGACGCGGGGCTCAATCTAAAGTACGTCAGCCTGGCCCGCCAGCGTGACAGACGCCCTGGTCTCTCGCGCCAGTGGACCTTCGGCAGGGACGCGTGCGCATGATCCCGCCGCTTTACACCTCGGAAACCGACGCCTCCTCTCACCGACCGCCTGTTGGGGCACGGGGAGGCGAACGATTCATCAGCCTGCTGACATCTGTCTGGCGTGGCTACCATGTGCTGCTGCCATACGCTCTAGATTCGCCAACACGCTAGGACCACTCGAAGCGTGATGAGAAGCTACAGCGCTAGCAAGGTTAGCGTGGACGAAGAGAAGAGGAGGCTCGGAAGCTCAGTGGAGGAGACTAGTGCGTACTGGACAGGCTGGCATCGGGCACTCACGTTCCCCCTGAGCTCCTCTCGGCTGGGTGTTATCCCCCCGACCTCGGCAGGATGTGTCGCCTGGCCATGTTCCTCCGCTTCAGGAATCCCAAGCCTTTCAGACTCGCTATGGGCTGCGTTCGTTCTGCTGGCTGCCTCCCTGCACTCTTTCCTGATCATGTCTCGATGTTCACGCGAAGCTGCCCCCGCACCACCCTCGCAAACCCTGGGCTCGGTGCCTGGCCCGACATCTTCTCCGCTCCCTGCTTTTGCATCGCTGTGATGAAGGCCATCCGTATCTCCTCGATCGCGGGCATGCTCACATCCTCTTCGTCGAACTGGTGGAAATCTGCCCACTTGCTGAAACTTACTGTGACTCTGGTTATCTTCTGCTCGGCGGGCTGGTCGTCCATCGAGCATGCGTCCTTCGGCCTGCAGACAGTGAACGTCTCGTTGACCACCGCCTGGCCCTCCTCGCTGTCCGCCATCTTCGCCCACTTGTCCTTGGCCCTCTCGGGAGGGGGTCCCCTTCAGGTCGTCCTTCATCGGCTCCACCATTGCATGCGCGACCTGGGGGTGAGGTGGTTCCATGCCGTGGCCCTTTCCTCGCTCCGTTACCATCTTCTGGCAGTCGTCCGCCGCTTCCTTCCCACCCTTCGCATTCGGCGCCTTGCGCGTGCACAACCAGAAGTCGTAGGTTGCCGCGGCCAGCTCCCGGACTTGGGCGTCCTGCGGTAGCGCTAGGCGCTGCAGGCTGGCGGTGTTATCCGTCCACACCCCCTCGAGCTTCTGGTAGTCCCCCTTGCCCGTGGGTCCCTGGCCAACTTCTCGTTTTCGTTATTCTTGGCTTGTGCGCACCAGCGGAAGCTGGTCCATACGCGGGCGCGCAGAATACATCATGCGATCATTCATGGTTCAATCGTCGCCGATCTCGGGCAACGCGCCTGTTTCGATGATGTCCACCAGGGATAGAACGAATACCTTTCAAGGGACTGGCTTTCTGACATGGACACTTTCCGGGAGTCCGCCGCCGCGAAGCCCACCTGGCTCGCTCGGTCTGCCTCCTCCGCCGAACTGCCCACCTCTGGGGCCCCCCAGATCACGTCCGCAGCCCTGAAATGACGGAATCTTCACAACAAAGCTCCAACTCCATGACCTCCTCCTGAACCGTGCCCTGCTTGTCCAACTGAGCCTTCCACCGCGCCCCCCTGCCCTCCTGAGCATGCTTCGCCAGCGCTGACCGGGCCTCCTGCGCCAGCTTACCCTGCGTCTTCTGGGCGCAAGCGCCCGGGGACATCTCCAAATGCCTCGGCGACGCCAAGAAGTCCGGGCCGACAGAAATTGCGTTCCTGAAGGGCGCGGCCGCCCTGCCCAGCATCCAGAGCCGCGTCTTCTGCGGTGCTCAGTCCCGGTCGCGCACGGGCGTGAACTCGTCGTGCTCGGCCCCAGTGGTGCCGGTGTCGCCGCCCACTCCGGCGGAGTCCTCGATGCTAGCGTCGGCGTGTAGCCTGGGGCGGCACTCCCCGACGCGGGAGAAATGCTCAGGCGCAAACGTAAGTTCTCCACGCGAAGCTGGGGCGGCGCCCTCGCGGTATTAGTCATGTCGCCACTGACAGCGCATCCGCTGCTGCCCGCGTCAGATCCGTCAGACTCTTCGAGGATTCTGGGCCGAGCGGGCAGAAGCCATCAGACCTCCGATCGCCTGCCTCGCGCCCGCCGCGGCGCCGCCAACAAGACGCGCAGCGCCTCCGATCGTGCCCGCGGCCACCGCGCCGATGTCACGCCCTGCGAACTGCCCGCCAGCGCCCAGCGCCCGCCCGAAGCCGAAGGCTGACACCTGGGCGCGCTGCGGAGCGCGCGCGAGGTCGAGCTCTAACGCGCAGACTGAGCAAAGCACCAGGCCAGCGCGGGAGGTGCAGCGCTGGGCGCACGCGCGCTGCGTCGCACGCCTGGCAGCTCACCGCTGGTCCCCGCAGCAGCGGCACGATCTCACCAGCGATGTCTCCGAACCCGTTGACGATGAAATTGGGCTCGCATAGTACATCATGCCCCACACTTGCGGATAGGGCGCGCGGGCGATCGCCCGCGCGCGATGGCGCCTCCCACGAAACCGGCGCGCCTCCAGCAGCGCGAGAGGAGCGTCACCGGCAGCTCCAGGAGGGACAGGCACGGGGCCAGCCAGCGGCGCGCGGACAGCGGCTCCCCGGCGGACGCGGGGCCGACACCCCACGTTCCCGATGCGCCTGGCCATCCGCCCCCGCTCGAAGAAGGCGACCGCGTCGTGGACTGCGCGCTTGCGAGCGTCTGCTCCGTCCGCCAGGAGGAGCGGACGTCGCCTCCAGCTGCCGGGCCCCGTCTTGAAGCTGCAATCGCGCACAGCTGGGGGCCCCAGCGCGCGGGCCGCGAGCGCCGGACAGCGGATCTGGTGCGGAGGCGGGGCGCCGTCTGGAACGTGAACCGCCGCGCCGCAGCAAGGGCACTCGCGGCACGCGCCAGGGCGGTCCCCGCTGCGCGGCTCGGCGTTCTGAGATGTTGCGAACCAGGCCTGACGGACCGCCAAAAGCAGCCACGCGTCGCACGCGGGCAATGCGAGGCTCTGCCTTGGCCTTCGCTATCGCCTTCGGGGCCATGCAGGGCGCCGCAGCGATTCGCGCGCGAAGCCTTGAGCCCAAATGGTTAACGTTGTGCGCACATGGTCGTCCCTGCGGTCCCGCCATCCTGTCCTTTTGTATGGCCCCCGCGCATGATCCCGTATGCGCCCCCCGCGTGGTCCCCTCGTGTGGCCCCTCGTAGATGGTCCCCCCATATGGTCACCTCGTATGGTCCCCTCGTTCGTAGGGCCCCCACGTATGGTCCCCTTGTATTGTTCTCCCGCATGGTCCCCTCGTATGGTCACCTCGTATGCTCACGGGAGACCGGCGTGCGCGAACCCAACGCACGCACATGGACAGAGTAATACCGTTCGGCAACCCCGCACTCTGACAATCATTCATAGTCTAATCGTCGCTGATCTCAAACAAAGCATCCGTTTCGATGATGTCCTCCAATAAATAGAACGACTACCCCTCGATGTGCTGGCTGTCTGACTTGGACCCTTTCTGGGAGGCCTGTAGCTGACCTCACGAGTCTTTCGATCGTCCAGATCAGACGCATATCCCAGAATCTATCCCGAGAGGCGGTGCTTCTCCCGCCACGGTGGTTCAGAGGCCGAAGTTGTGGTGGAAGGCGAGGTTCAGTCATTGGGGGGAGGAGGGGAGGATGGTTGCGGAGCGCTCGCAACGAAAACCGTAACCCAAAGGGCGGTCGCTCCACCTGGGAACTGGATCCCAGGGGAGGCGGGCGAATGACGCACCGGCCTCCCAGTCGCTCCCACCACTCCACGTTCTAAGCTCGCTTCTCTGTTAAACAGCCCTACGTCGGCGCACAAACTCCGTGACGACTGAATTGGGTGGCACTGCGTCCCGCTATGCTATGCCTGACGTACCAAACAGCATACGTGATGACTTGGCCCGATTTCTGCTTGCTAAGCAACACACGCATACGGGCACGAAATTGTCACGATACCTCTCCCTACGGCCTACGTGCACAGTTATGACTCCAGACCCCGGCCTGGCAGCACCCCCCACGCACGTGGAGGGGGGGATGGGGGAAGGGGGGAGAGGAAGAGAAGTAAGAGCAGGAGGAGGAGGAGGAGGAGGAGGAGTACTCAGCCGATGAACAATCCATGTGCGCCACCAGTTACACACGTGTGGAAAATCAGGGGTAACATCACACACGGAAGAACTCAATGCGCAATACTCGCGCACAGGAGAACGGGACCGAGCGAACCCGAGGTGACCGACCGAGGGGACCGACACCGAGGAGGAACCGAGGGCCCGAGGGACATGGGGGGGAGGAGGAGGCGACAAGCAGGCCACCGAAGGGACACAACTGGCGAATCAAAATCGCGCTATGCGTTCCTGCCCGTTGTCCGTGCCGCGGCTGCGCAGCCACGCTCAGAGGCGCGGCGCAAGGTGTGGCCACACGTCCATCTCAACGAAAGAACACCTGGACGACACCTCCCAAGACGTGCTGGCCGTCCTTCTGGTCCCTGAAGTCGTGGTGGCGGGTCATCTCGTGTAGCGCGTCATGGAACGGCGCAAACTCCGATCGGGTAGGCTGCGTCCGCTTCAGCAGAAAGGCAACAGGGCGAACGGTAAGAGCAGGTAGCATGTTTCGTGACTCCAGTACGACTCTCAGCGCACGTCCGCCTCCGTCCAGGTCCACCTCGCCCTCCTCCTCCTCCTCCTCCTCCTCCTCCTCCTCCATCTCGTGGCAACTGTGGTTGATGGTAAGCTCCTCCCCAACTTTGATGTTACATGCTGCCACTGCGGTCGAGCACTGTACGTCGTCGTACATGTTGGCCTTACAGCAATGGTAACACATGATGTCGAAGCCACTGCACTCTACGGCCCCGTCGGCGCACATCCCGCCGTGCTCCGAGGGCGTGATACGCACGGCGAGACCCTCAGGAGGCAGGCTTGCCCCGAAAAGGTGCATGTCCACATAGTCTGAGCTTTTCTCGGGGTTGCCGCGGTCGCGAGGTCAGGGCAATGACGTACACTTGTGCGTATACTTGTAGACCGCCTCGCCCCTCCTAAAGTTGGCGTCCGCGTGGAAGCCGCAACCGCCGTCGCCACCGTCGAGGATGTTGCCCCCACCAGGCGTCTTCAGGATCCGAATGCCGGCGGGCACCTGCAGCTTCAAATCGTGAGCGGCGATGTGGCAGCTGTCATTGACAGCAGGCATGGCACCGAGGAGTCTTTGTTGTCCACCTCGCCCTTCGTGGAGTAGGCGTCCGCGTGCACGCCGTACCCGCCGGCCCACCGTCGCCAACGTCGTGGATGTCCACCCTCTGGTCCTCGATCATCAGGGGCTCCAGGGGCGCGCGAAGGACGGTCGCGGGTACAGCGCCAAGATCGGGTACTCCACGAAGTTGAGCCTGTAGTCAGTGGCAACGGCCACCGCCTTCGCGAAGAAGACGAAGATGGGCTCCAAACCAGGATGTGTACTATACAGGGCCGCGCCTTGGCGAAGGAGACGAAGGCGCCGGCGGTAACCACGGCGCTGGGCCCGTGAGCGCGCACCCGGAGGGTCGCCGCAATCAGAGGCCTCCATCCCCAGCTCGCCGCCAGCGCCCCGAGCAGCCAGCGTGCCAGCCTCCCCGTGCGGGAGGGCACCCAGGGCGTCAGCGCGCTCGCCAGGCCGCGGCTGCCATCATCGCGCGGTCGTGCCGATCGGAGAGGCCGCCTCTGGAAGGGAGGGCCTGTGCCGCTGCGGCGGCTGAGGAAGAGGAGGAGGAGGAGGAGGAGGAGGAGGAGGAGGAGGGAGAGGAGGAGGAGGAGGAGGAGGAGGAGGAGGAGGAGGAGGAGGAGGAGGAGGAGGAGAGGGGAGGAGGAGGAGGAGGAGGAGGAGGAGGAGGAGAGGAACCCGACGCCACCGCCCCCGTTCTGCCGCGAGACGAGGCAGCCGAGCGGCGGCAGGCGGCTCACGCACGGAAAAGGGC